AATGAGCTTGACAATACTCTTGGGCTTGTGCTCTCTAATACAATCTAGTTATATATATACGAGTAGTTTAGGCATAAAATATGCATTCGGTTGATTCTAAAAGGAAAACAGAGGAATAACAATGGCAGGGAGAATAAGTTGCGGTCTCAATCTTCCTCTCTTAGATACCAACTCTGCACAATCATCATCTCCGCTACTCAAGACAAGGTCACAGATCTCTTGGTATACCTTTCGTTCGTCAATAATCTTATATTAAAAAAAAAAAATATCATTTCATTCTTGATTTATCAATTAATCATCACGAGTTTTAGGAAAAGAACAGAGGATGAAACGGAGCCACGGAAGAACAAGCGTAGTCCTCTTGTCTTGGGCGTGGCTGCGACTATTGTGATCGGCGCGGTTCATATAACTGACGTGGCGACGGTGGAAGCGGCCGTTGTGGAATCTACGGTGAAAGAGGTAGCGGCGGGTTCGGTGCCGCCGCGGAGGTGGAGCGACAAGAGGGCGTGTCCACCTTGGCTTCAAAACTCACTCGAGACCATCGTACCGGAGAATCTTCCACGGCCGTCGGGTCATCGGCGTTTGGAGTTAGCCGGACTTGCTAAGGGTGACGCACCGCCTATCGGTGCCGTGGTGACACGCGTCAACAGGGCTGCTTGTTTCTCCGTGTAAATTGGAAGTTCCATTACGTGTACGCCAAATGTTAGGCATAAATTGTAAATAAATTAAAAGTTTTTTTATTGTTAAAAAGATAACTTAATAATGTTGAATTAATCAGTAACTAATATACATGTTTATTTTCATAAGTATAATTAAAAATACCAAGGACGGATTTCAACGACATTTTTAGATGCGGGATTTGTTTTCGTCGGTCCCTTTGAATTTTGTCTCTTTTTGCACCATATTTTTTTGGGTGTTTTCAGCTTTGTGTGTTGGAGTAGTACTCTGTTGGATGTGCGATGAGAGGAAAGCAGTACACACATGTGTAGTACAAAAGTACTTCCTACTACTATGAGTCGGTCCATTATTGGTCTAGAGTCAAGCCCAAGTCCATATCATTCCTCAAGTTTTAATTTTATTTCGGCCTCGTAATCTTAATAACCCAAATGAACCGCCAAGAACAAACCATAACTACCGTAAGTTTAAAGTTATTGTACATCGTTTTTACCTTTGTGCCAATTCTGGTCTTTTGATCTTTAGAAACGTTTTCAATTTATTTACAAAAATACTACCACATAATTTTCACAAACATTTTTTTTAAAATTATGTTATATCGCAAGAAAAAAAAACAATACATCATTTACAAATTTTCTAGTCTCGAGAATTTTCCAATTTAGTTATTCCATGGCTAGATTTTCTTCCTCGAAAGTTCTTAGCCACACGTAGGTACACACACATAAATTCATATCATATCTCTCCTCTTTTTTTTTTTTTTTTCCTGGTAAAGTTCTTTCATTTCTTTTTTTCGTTTTCCCTCTGCTCCAAGTCAATGTCCAAGGGATTGCTATTGATAGTCCTCCTTGTTTCACCTTTGTTCGTCGCAGGTACAACGGTTTCCGTTAACCAAAGTTTTTCTTGTTTGATGAATTTCTTGTAATTGTTTTCGTTTTCTAATCGTAGGAGTAACGTCGAGGAACTTCACCATTGAGAACAAATGCGAATACACAGTCTGGCCGGGAGTCATGTCCTCGAATACGGCTCAACTTTCCACCACCGGATTCGTTCTTATGAAAGGAGAGGCACGTCTTATCAACGTTCCATCGCCATGGACAGGTCGTTTCTGGGGTAGATCGCTCTGCTCAACCAACTCAAGCGGGAGTTTCTCCTGCGCTACTGGAGATTGCGGCTCCGGAAAAATCAGCTGTTCCGGAGCTACAGCAACGCCTCCAGCAACTCTAGCCGAGTTCACCCTCGGCACTTTTGGCAATCAAGACTTCTATGACGTAAGCATCGTGGACGGTTACAACCTCCCGTTAGTGGTTGTCCCGCAGCGTCCCCAACGTGGCCGAGAATGCAGCAGCGTTGGTTGCGTGGTCAACCTGAACAAGACATGTCCGTCCGAGCTTAAGGTCGGTGGAGAACAGCCGGTGGCCTGCATGAGTGCCTGTCAAAAATTCAAGTCTCCAGTTTTCTGCTGCACCAACACAACGGAAAAATGCCAACCAACGCTTTACTCGCAGAACTTCAAGAGCGACTGTCCACTCGCTTATAGCTATGCTTTTGACGATGCAAGCAGCACCTTCAAATGCCCAAACTCACCTAACTACGTCATTACATTTTGTCCCTCGGCTATTCCCACCACCACCAAGTAAGTTTCCTTTCTCTAGTCAATTATTCCGGCAAATACGTTAGGTAGTAGGCTAGTTAAACTTCACACGGCTCAATTTTTGACCATTCATTCTATTGATATTTTCTTTAATGTTTTTTTTCTTTAGAAAGTGATATTTTCTAGAATGTTGATAGTCCAACAAGTGGACAAATATTTTGGATAAATATTTACAAGAGTACAATTTGAATTCCATTTGGTGTTAAGCATGATTTTCTGTTATAAAAATCGATTAAACTAATGGGCAATTACAAGAATATCACTTTTGGTGTGTATATTTGCAAAAATGTTATTTAAGGGTATTTACTTGCAAAAATGTC